CACATGTACTGCACCCAAATTTAAATATTGAACCAAAAGTTGTGTTTCTCAAGTACAACCACTTGAGCCGCATTACTATGAACCCTCGTTGGGACTTTGTTTTAAAGGGGAGGTCGGGGTGAAATGCGGTGTTATAACAAAAAATATGTCCGGAACTTGCGAGAAAACCTGCAATTTGTAGTCCCGCGAGCTGTACAAGTGTGAGGCCACACTTATTTGACGAGAGAGTGTGAGTCAGAGGCTTGAAATGTGTGTGATCACTGGTGCGTGCCAGTGCCTTGTGTTGGTCTTGATGTGGCGGGGGAGTGTGCGTGCGAGGTGTGGGCTTTTGAGACAGAACATGAGAGAGGCTTTAGAGCTTAGAGAGAGAGAGCCATCCCACTCACCCCCAAATATAAATAGCAAACCACGTCGACCAACCCACAAGATCTAAATGTGAAACAAGTAAGACGGGTGCATGATAAACATTTCCGGAGGGCAGAATTTCGCCATCGATCACTTCTGTATTAGCTGCGTCAGGTCTGTCTCTAACCCTATATGCGGCATAAAGGAGAGCCTTGTCAGGTAGCCCTAGTGAGTTAGACACTCAAAAGGCTTAGATTTATCATTTATCGAGCACCCCCATGAACCAAAAATGGCTATCGGGGGTTTAACAGGGCAAAAATGGCGGTAAAAATCAGTTTCGTGCTTCAAGTTGCCTCCTTTATTCCCTGTGACTTCTTCACTCTTGGGTGCATATCAAACTTTTTTGGCGGCTAGCGAATAAATCCAGTTTATGTAAAAAATATGTGCAAGTTTGTAGTTCGGGTTTCTTGCACAGAAATTGGTCAACATTTTGAGCAACAGATGGTACCTCTAAAGGCAACGGTTAAGGAAGGAAGAATAAGTGGTGTCACACTCGTATGACACCAAGAATATGATACCAAGAAAAAACAAAAGCAGTTAGGGAAATACAAAGACTGGCACCTTTTTTTGAAAAGTTTTGTTATTAGCTGATTTGCCTTTAAATCTGTTAAAATAAGTGCCCAAATTATGATATTCGTCTTGTAAATTTTATTCAGAAGGCATTCTTGAATTTTTCACTGCTTCATTTACGGGAGTGATGCGATTTAGTCGTCAAGTTTCCTCGGGTTAAAAATACCCGGAGCAAAATTCTCTACCAGGCCTTGTGGTGTTTGGACAAGGCTCTATCTTCCTGGTGTGGTGGTGAGACAAAAAAATTGTGGATGCGTAAAAACCTTCCATTTGACACACTGCCGCCGACTGTGATGCATTTTGTAAACAAACCAAACTTGATGCGTGCAGGCGGCTGGATTTGCTGGGGGGTCTTGGCTTGAAGGTACCTGGCACCTTTGTTCTGTGCATACATAGACATGATTCAGATTTAGGTGAGGCAGGACATTGCCATAGGTGTCCAGGTTCTGTGGAGCCTGGCTTATGCTTGGTGGTTTCAAGTGAGCTCGATTTGTATGACATCTGAAACCTCAGAATGGGAAATATAGGTTTGGCATATGCGATTAGACAATGTCAGGCAGGGGGTGAAAAATTCACATAAAACATGGGGTAAAGGAGTGAAAAATTATTACTCATAAGGGTGTTGCTTTACACCCAAAGTCGGCAATTCTAGGACACTGCTAACATATAGGGTCTGGTCAGGGTTCAGTATCCCCTGAGCAAAGGGCAATAACCGAAGATCAGTGTACATGAATTAGCGCCCCTGTGTGATCAGAGTTGCCTGGGCAGGTTGACAGAAAAAACTCTAACAAGTGAGGGGTCCTTATCAAATAAGCTCAAAAAGGGAAAGACTTAGATCAATGAAGAAAAGCCCCTGAAGCATCCACTGCTTTGGAGCGTTACCTTCTATGGGTGGGCCCCCAGCACAGCACGGAGGTACTCCTAAGCAAGTGGAAAGAACCCGAATATGAAGAAACCCGATATCATAGGAATGGCACGCTGAAGTAATCACGAGTTGACCCCGGCAATTTTGGGCCACGGGTAAGCAGCGGCGGGGCGGGAGAAGCCCGTTTCCTACCCGCGGGCGCAGCGGTCCCCGCTGAGCACAGCTGCCGCGCGCCACGCCTCCTGCCGCGCGCCGCCCGGCGCGTCTGCGCCCAGTTCCGCCGATGAGCCCCGGGGCCCGAGCCCAGGCCGGACACGGCCAGCCAGGCGTCTAGGAAATTTATGATAGCAATGCTCCACTGTACGCATCACGTGAAGATTCAGTGGAATGACAGGTTGACTGTGTTCGCAAAGAGGGAAGTAGCAGCAGGAGTCAAAAAGGCTTCTGTAGTTTCATCTAGCGGCAAGAATCCAAACCAGCCTGCACCGGAGATTAGCGTTTTGAGCACTGGACTTAACGACTTTGGACCTCGCGACTCTGGACGTTGCGGGTCTGGACCTTATGAACGCCCCCAATGGGCACGGAATTAGACGCATTCTGGATGTTATGAACGCTGGATGCTGCGATCCTGAACGGTATCAACACCGACCGCTGCAATCCTAGACGTTTTGATAGCTCCCCGTGGCGCGTAGCGCGTAGCTAACGCTAGCGTGCTAGCCTCGGGCCCCGCCGCTCCGAGACGTCACACACATTGTCGTTCCCCCGCCACTCGGCATCGGTAACCGGCTTTCCGGATACGCTCTGTGGGCCGTTCCCGGGGCGATGATCTTGCTTGCGGAGTGGTGTCGCCGTGTTAAGAGGATCTTGATGTGCACCATTGATAAAACGAAATAGAAGAAAAATTAACTCCAAGATAGTCATAATTACTTATCCATCTCTCAGTTCTTTACAGTATTTCCTTGCCTTTAAAAACACCAGCACGCAATTCCTTCTAGTTGCTATAGCCCTCATTCCAAGTCAGATTGCAAATACAATGTTTCTTTTTAGCGAGATCTTTGAAATATTTGCGATGATTTCGCTGTCATAGCACTGATGAGGTGAGTGTATCGGCACAGTATACCTTCTCCTCTCCAGGATGCATCTCCAAGAACGTGTGTCTAATGTAGCCATGGAGCCGTAACCGTCCAAATGTCTTCTTCAAGTTCCCACCGATGATTCGAAAGCATCTAGTTGTGGTCCTAGCACATATTGTCGGAACCATTTGCAGCAATTGGTCAGAGAGGTGTCAGCATGGAAATTTCATTTCCCAAACAGCGTGAGGTGTACAACCTAAACTTGGCATCCTAAACATGCATACATTCAATTCAACTGTACGCCTCTCTGCTGTAGCGCATACGTGGGGGCGTGTCCGGCCG